GATATTTCAAAGCGTGAATCCAATTACTACAGGAGAGTTCGTTGTAGGATAAGATTGTATTTGTATCAATTGTAATTCTACAAACACACAAATCCAATTAATTTCATCTAATTAATCACACTATATACTTACTATTACATAGGCAAAGTTCATACAAGTCATATCATAAGAGTTATACATGTGTAACGTTGAAATTACCGACTCATAAATTATGTTTGGTTTTAAGATTGACTTGTAATTATTATTTAGTATTAATTCTTTTTCACCTAAAAAGAAAAAGAAAATGGTAACTCGTTCCTCATGTTTTGCTCCTGGAGTGTTTCATCATACACATTTATATATGAGATTTAAGTATTTAATCCATATACTATAGGAAGCAAGAACAATCATGGAAAATAAAAGAAGCTGAAAAATTAATATGTGGAAGTTCTCTATTAAATTTTTTTTTTGAGGAAGTTCTGTATTTTAATTTTAAATATATATAATATAAAATTGGTGTGTAACGATGTTATAAGGTATTGGAGACAACTAAACTTTTCAAACACTTTCTAAACTACATTCTTTTGAAAAATAATGGAGCAAAAACTGTAATTGGATCCGTTTTCTTGAAATAATCGTAAAAACCCAAAAAGAATTCATTTCAAAGAATTCTTTCTCCTTCCTCTAAATATTACTCCTTCTGTTCCATTTTATTTGTCGTTTTAGATTTCTGCACATGTATTAAGAAAATAATTAATTATCTTTAATTTTAATGTTAAATAAAATAAGAATATCATTTTGCCCTTTTTCTCACCCTTTTCTTCTACCATAAAACTCCATCTGTCGTTTTACTTTCTCTTTTTACCTTCTCTTTCATTTGTGGGTTCTTTGGCCGGAAAAACTTCTTTGCAACTCCAACCTTTATTCCAATTCAATTTCACTTTATTTTCATTCTAACACCACAAAAAATTTTCAAACTATGTACAAAACTTGGTTTTATCTTCCTCTGACAGAGTTACATGTATTTTTGTTTTTTTCTTTTCTACTTCCAGCAAACTACCCAAATGGCCAAACCACAAATCCAGAGGTTAGAACCTCTTATAATGAAAAATTCTCTACCTCGATCTATCCTTTGTTTCTAATTTCCTAATCTATCCCCTTTCTTTGTATTTGCAAGAGCAACTGCTTAAAATTAGTATAGCAAGAAATTTTTACTTCTGCCATTTTTCCTCTACAAAAACTTGTGGGTATTGCATGTTTGTTTAGATCAAATCCAAGATCCACTGGTATTGCTTGGTTGTTTAGCCATTTAGAAAAGTTTTCCAAAATTTGTAATACGAAACGGAGGAAGGCAAAAAGGTCTTTTCCTTTTTTTCCTCCTTTTCAGACTGACATTAACTTTTCAGACTGACATTAACTTGGAGTCATTAAATTTTATTGGAGGGTAAAAGTAGAAAAATAAATTAAAGAAATCTTGATTTGCACAAAATGACAAATAAATAAGAACAAAAATTTATCCATAAAACGTCTAATATAGTGGAACAGAGGGAGTAATCAATAATGCTGTAATTTTCAGTTTTTCTTAAAACTCATGCAGATGGAACACCCACCATGGTTAGTGAAGCACATCTGGATCCAACTCAAGTTTTGGAGTTAATAATGACAGCTGATATTTAGCCACATTTTGATATTGGCTATCCATGAAGTTGACGATACGAAATCAAGGACTAATAATGATATATATGCTTTATTTGTGGTTATGATCACTTTGATATTTATTGGTAATTCAAATTTTTAGAATGATATATACTCATAAATTTTAAAATGAAATTGAGAGTAGATTGAAGTTGATCCTTGTAGTTCTTTCAACAAATCATATATAATTGTTCAGATAGAAAAATTAGTCATTTGCCAGTCAAAATATAAATTTATAATTAGATTGTAATTCAACTTTTTTTTTTCCTCTAGTAAGTGTTAAATTCAATAAATAGCTACTGTTCATATCAATTTAGTTTCAATTATCAAAATTAGTCTCGCTACTTATAATATTATATCAAAAGGGTCATTTTGTTAACTTTCTGTTAATTAGTTTTTGATGAAATTCTTCCAACTAATTAGAAAATTGTATTAATTAGTTTGCCTTGATTTTCCATTAGTTATTTGTTGTGAAGACAATAAAGAATAACTTGTAATTCATAGGACACAGCCACATCCACATGGTTGTTTTGAGCTTCTTTGATTATGGAAGCGATTGCCATATCTAAAATCCACTCTTCGAATCCATGTGCGCCAGAGTGTTTCTTAATTGGTCAAAATATGATTATCAAAAGAATCAAAACAAATCCCAATATAAAATGTGAGATTGTGTTGTTTACGTTGTCCCTTCAAACTTACATTTGTTTAAATTTTATAGTTTTCTTTTATACGAATCAGGTAAGTGCTATAAACAATCAGCTTCCACGTATTATGCATGTAAAAAATTTTATTTGATAATAATAATTAAGAATTTAGTTAATATATAGATTCATTGTAGACACCTATAATCTTGAAAAATATTTCGTGTTGCATCTGTCTCATATTTATCTACATAGAATAATTCATCTATTTATTTAATGTGAGTGTTCACATGAGTGCATTATTTTTCAAAAAGGATCCTTGCCTAAGCTTTATAAATATGTATGTATGTTCTCTTCCTTTGCCGTAGTGACTCATTGTGATCCAATCTCAATCTTGCCCTTAGCATTCCCTCATCGTCTTTTCCTTTCTTCTTTTCTTACAAAAACTATGGCTCTTCTAATGCAAGAAACTCCAAAAATCGACCACTTGGAAAATACTGAAGTCCAGGAATTTTACAACAGTGCCATCCTCATGTCCTTCCTAGAAGAATCTCATTCTGATGATGAATACTACAACGATGAAGAATTGAACAGCTTGATGCAATCTCTACAGGAAGAGATTAATGCTAAAGCTGTGGAGCCTGAGCTGAACGTGGTGGCTGAGAGGGTGGAGGGTGGAGTATCCATGGATTTTGAGGGGTTTGGAAGGAGTGATGATGATATGGAGGTAGTGCCTTCCTCACCAAGTGAGGACATGAACTGGTACATGGGCATGGAGGGTCAAGCAGGGGAGATGGAATTCGGAGCAGAATTTTTTTATCAAACTTATTATTGTGGAGTTACCTTAGAGGAGCTCCAATATAGCAGTTCTCTTTGGCAAGAAACATATGATGCAACAATGTACAACTAAAGTTTTTTATGTTTCTCAGTTTTGTAGTTTTGCTCTTTTTTTCATATAATGGAAGATTATAATTAAGTTGTACATCTAAATTAGTTACTTTTTTATCATCTATATGTCGAAATTTTTTATTAATAGTACAATTACTGTGAATCTTAACCCTTTTGCTTCGTAGCCA